GAGAAACTTCCTACTAGATACAGTTGCTTTTTTGTAAATGCTTTGGAATTTTCTACATAGACAATCATGCTATCTACCAATAAAGGCATTTTATTTCTCTCTTTCCAATCTATGTGCCTATTTCTTTGTCTTACCTTATTGCACCAGCTAGGATCTCCAGAAAAATGTTGAATAGGAGTGGTGAGAGCCAAAGTCCTTGATTTGCTCTATCTTAGGGGGATAAAAATCAGTTTTTCACTTTAAGTATGATGCTGGCTATAGGTGTTTCATACACGCCTTTAATCAGGTAGAGGAAGTTCACTTTTATTCCTACTTTTCTGAACGCTTTATCAGGAATCAGGGATAGATGTTAGTAAAATATTTTCTGCATCTATTGAGATGATCATATGGTTTTTCTTCATCATCACCATTTATCTCCATAGCTTTCATCTCACAAAACTGAAATTTTGTACACATTAAACAATAAATTCCCATTCTCCCTTCCTCCATCTCCTGAAAACCACCATTCTACTTTGTCTTTATGATTTTTACTCATCTCATGTAAATGGAATCATATAGTATTTGTCTTTTTGTGACTGTCTTACTTCATTTAGCATGATGTCTAAAGGTTTATCCATGTTGTAGCATATGTGAGAATTTCCTTCCTTTTAAGGTTGAAAAGTATTCCACTGTGTGCATATACCACATCTTGCTTATACACTTATTCAATGATGGACATTCTAGAGTACTTCCACATTTTAGCTATTATGAATAATACTGCTATGAACATAGGTTAGGTGTACAATATCTCTTTATTACCCTAGTTTCAATCTTTTTTGGATATAACCCCAGAAATGGAATTGCTGGGTCATATGGTAATTCTATTTTTAATTCTTTGAGTAACCACCATACCATTTTTCATAGCAGCTATCATTTTATATTCTCAACAACAGGGCATAAGAGTTTCAATTTCTCCACATCCTAATACTTATTTTTACTTATTCGTTTATTTTTTATAGTAGCTATTACACCCTAATGGGTATGAGGTGTTAATACTGGCCTTAAAAAAATAGCTGGGGAGTGTTTCCTCCTTTTCTATTTCTGGAAGAGTTTGTATAGAATTTGTATTTTTTCCTTAAATACTGGCCAGTGAAGCTATCAGAGTTGTCCTGCAGGAAAGTTTTCAGATTATCTATTATTTCTTAAGTAAACTTTGATAGTCTTTCAAGAAATTTGTCGATTTCATCCAAGTTATCAAATTTATTAACCAAATTGTTCATAGTATTCTCTATTAGCATTTTAGTTTCTGTAGAACATATACTGATGTTCTGTCATTCTTAACATTTGTATCTTCTCTGTTTTCTGCTGACAAGTCTAGCTAGAGGTTTGTCAATTTCATCTTTCAAATACCAGCTTTTGGTTTTATTGACTTTCTCTACTTTTATTTCAAATTTAATTTCTGCCCTGAATTATTTCCTAATTTCTGCTTCTTCAGGGCTTTAATTTGCTCTTCTGTTCTTTAGTTTCTTAAAGTGGAGGCTGCGATAATTGATTTACTGTTTGTTTTCTAATCTAAGTATGTTTAATGCTATGCATTTCCCTCTAAGCACTGCTTAAGCTTAGTCCCATACATTTTGCCATTCCATTCAAAATAATTTTTAATTTCCCTTATGCCTTTGTCTTTGACTCATGGGTTACTCAGAGATGTGCTGTTTAATTTCCAAATATTTGGAAATTGCCCAGATATTGTTATTAATTTCTCATTGAATTCATTTGTGAACAGAGAAATTGTATTTCTTTACATTTGTTGAGGTTCATCTTCTGGCTCAGAAAATCTCTCTCTGTTAGGTTAAATATGAATTTTTCATATATATTTGAAAAGAACGTGTATTCTGCTGTTGTTGTATGGAGTACCCTCTCAAAGTCAATTTAATCAAGTTAGTTGGTAGGGCTGTTTAGGTTTTCTACAACCCTATTCATCTTCTGTCTACTAGTTCTATGGATTACTTAAGAACTATTGACATCTCCAACTGAAATTGTGTATTTTTATATTTCTCCTTTTGGTTCTTTCAGTTTTTGCGTTAGGTGTTTTTACATTTATGACTATTATATGTTCTTGATGAAGTGACCCCTTACTCTTTGTGCAATGCTCTTCATCTTTCCTGGTAATATTTCTTGTTCTGACATCTACTTGGTCTGGTATTAATATAGCCACCTCATCCTTCTTTTCATCAGTGTTTTGCATAGTATATGTTTTCTCTATCCTTTTACTTTTAACATATCTATGTCTTTATATTTAACTTGGATTCAAAAAACATTGGGCAATTCCCTTCATCTTCTCTTTTCGTATCTCACGTGAGTTAAGTAGTATCTATATCAAAGTGATATAGGAGAACTGGGTGAAAGGAGGTAAAGTAGAAGCATTTTGTAAATCAAGTAATGGTACATATACGTACACATATATATCATTATATACAAGTATACATGCACACTTATAAGCATAAATACATAATGTGTCAAAAACTAATCCATGGTACCCAAAGTCTAATGGCTTATTTTTATTCATCAGTGCTAATTTCCTACATTTTCAGGTTATTATTTTAATGAAGCAAAGAATAAATACAAATTTACTTCTCCTTTTCTAAAGTCAAAAACCCTTGTTTTAAAACCCTCATTATTCATACCAATTTTACAAGCAAATTCTTAAGTATTTTGTTAAATCAAAATTCTTTTTTTAAAGATTTTATTTATTTATTCATGAGAGATACAGAGAGAGAGAGGCAGAGACATAGGCAGAGAGAGAAGCAGGCTCCCCGCGGGGAACCCAATGTGGGACTTGATCCCAGGACCCTGGGATCACCACCTGAGCCAAAGGCAGATACTCCACCGCTCAGCCACCCAGGTACCCTTAAATAAAAATTCTTGATCCTTTATTAAATTAAGAAAATAATCAGTTTTGGCTAAGACCCACATTAACAGTATAAAATTGAGTTATTTCATTTGAAACAAAGGAAAAATAAAAAAGTTAAAACGAGTATTCTCAAAGAAACAACATAAATATCCGGGATTTCTATCACAACTGAAAGGCGTAAATTTTTCAGGAAGATTCTTTTCTCTTAAAAAACAATAAAAGAGAAAACAACATCAAATTTTCTGAGGTAGGGGAACATATAATAAACAGTTTTATTCCCCAGGGTCCAAAAAGATGAAGTGAAATTATGGATATAAATGATACACATAAATTGTTGACATAAATAGTACATGCTCAACAAACATCTGTTATAATTGTTGCAGTTATTCAGCTACTATACTGTATTAAAATCATCTATGTTGGGATCCCTGGGTGGCGCAGCGGTTTGGCGCCTGCCTTTGGCCCAGGGCGCGATCCTGGAGACCTGGGATCAAATCCCATGTCGGGCTCCCGGTGCATGGAGCCTGCTTCTCCCTCTGCCTGTGTCTCTGCCTCTCTCTCTCTCTGTGTGACTATCATAAATAAATAAATTTAAAAAAATTTAAAAAAATCATCTATGTTGAACTGAAATAGTGAAACCAAAGACAACTAATTCTTTAAAGCCAATTTCAGGAAACTGAAACATTTGCATGTAAGCTCTACAACTGTTTACAATACTAAAATGAAAAATTGAAAATAAATGAAAAAGTTCCTGGAATCTCTCATATGCTTTCAATTAGATAGCATCAATCAAATGGCTACTTTTTCCAACAAAGACCTCCATGGAGACAAGCTACCGATTTTAGCGAACATCTCCCATTCACTCAGTAGGTCAAGATCAATTAGCTATTTGATACATACTTTAGACGCCAAGGTGTCACATACTATATGCAGTCATGGTAGGTTTACAAAAAACTAGTCACGTTCTGGCAAAGCATGTTATGTGATAAACAGACCATAAACAGAAACTACCACTGGCACTGGGGCAACATCCAGCTGGGTTTCTTTATCCCTGATCCCAGTTTCAGCTGCAGGTTTTTTCCAGAAAGAACAGTAGCTTGATTTACTCAACACTCTGCTGAAGTCAGGGTGTGGTCACGCTTCTCTAAATAATATTACAAATGGATTTTCCCTGAACTCTTGTAGCAACAGGATCTTAGAGTGGTTACTGGTAAGAAAAGGTGAGATTAAGGTCAAAATGCACATCTACAAAAAAATAATAAATAAGGATTTTTTTAAGGACCACCTAGAGACAATAGAGGCAGGAGTATTATGGAATCCAGAAGAAAGAGATAATATAGCACAGCCCATGAATATTTTTTTCAAGCTTTCAACACGGAGCCACAGTAACAGTTCAATGTCTTTGCCAGCTTCCCTGTTAAGCACCGACAATTTCACCCCAAATTGTTACAATACGCTATTAAGTGCCCCCAAATACAAATCAATCGTTTTCTTTTTTTTATTTATTTATTTATTTATTTATTTATTTATTTATTTATTTATTTATTTATTTATTTTTAAATCGTTTTCTTTCTTGGTCATCAGAACAGGTCTAAACGTAAAAGCGAATCCAGAAAGATCAATTAAATGTCTCCTTTACCGGTTCTAAAACACTGCCAACGAGACATTCAGAAAGTCAAGACTCGGAAGCCTTTTCCTAAGGCAGGGACGAACAGGAATGTGTTTAATAAATTAATAATTGCATCCCAGGGCAGCCCCGGGTGGCGCAGCGCTTCAGCGCCTCCTTAGGCCCAGGGCGTGATCCTGGAGACCCGGGATCGAGTCCCACGTCGGGCTCCCCGCGTGGAGCCTGCTTCTCCCTCTGCCTGTGTTGTGTCTCTGCCTCTCTCTGTCTCTGTGTCTCATGAATAAATAAACAAAATCTTTTTTTAAAAAAATTGCATTCCTTCCCTCTGGTTAGCCTAGAGAATAAAAATCCACCTCTGCTCCGCGAGGGTGCAAAGCCCGCACCCGGCACCAACCCACCGGGGCACCTGCAGCTCGCTGGGCGCCCAGGCAGGCCCCCGCTCTCCAGGGGGCGAGGGCGGGACTCCGGGCTCTAAGTACTCACTAGGTAGGCGGTGCTTGTGACATGAACTTTCTTTCCTTCTCGGCCACTCTCACGTCGCAAGCCCTCTAGAAGGACGGGGAAACTGAGGCCCGACCTAAGTGACCTGCCAGGGGTCACGGAGCCCGTAAGGCGCACAGACGGGCCGGGCCCAGCAGGCGGGTCTTCGCCAGCGTCCAACGTCCCAGGGCCTCTGCCTGGCTCGCCGGGCCCCAGGCTCCGCCGGCGGACCCTCAGAGGAAAAGGGCCCGGCCCCGGGCGCTGCCCACCCCGGTCGCGTTCCCGTCAGCAGCCTCCGTCGACAGAAGGCGGCGGCCCCACCCGCCACCAGCTGCCAGGCACCGCGCCAAGCATGTGCTGCCGGTTCGCGGACACGCCCTCCGCCGCCCTCACCCCTTGGCCGCCTCCGCTCTCGCCCAACCCCGCTGCGCGCCTGCGCGCCCCGACCGGGGTCCGTGGGCCCGAGGGCCCCTGCTCACGTGGGGCCCCACGTGGCCCCGCCGCCACCAATAGCGACCCAGGGCCTCGCGTCGGCCACGCCCCCCGGTGCCCCACCCCCTCGAGGCCGTGCCGACCCCGGGCAGGCGCGTGCGGCTCCCTGCGGCGCGGGCTGCGCTGCTGCTTTGCTGCCTGCGGTGTGCGCGCGCGTGTGAAGATGCGGGGGTCGGAACCCGGTGGAGGCCGCGGAGGCCACAGGCTCCAGGGGGAGGAGGGGCAGGCGGGGGCGTCGGGGAAGGCCTCGGGGAAAGGGCTGCTTCCCAGGGAAAGGAAGGGAATAGGTACCCCTGGCTGCACACACTGCCCTTTTTGGGGAAAGCCAGAAAGAACGCCTCCAGGTTTTCCCATTTTACGGTTAAGTCCCTCGAACCCGCACTGACCCCATCACGTCGGGAGCGTCCGCAGTTACTTTGCCGCAGCCGCGCGTGGAGCAGTAGTGGTGCTCCGCGGAGCACTGCCCCGGGCCCTGGTTGGTGATCGTCCAGGAGGAAGAGCAAGCTCGTGGAGATGACCTCATGCAAGGACACTCACCTGGCCAGCGGCCTCCTCCTGGGCAAGTCCAGGGCCCGCTTGGAACTTCAGTGACGTTTAGACTTCTGTCATTAACCCAATTACAGGTATTGTCGTGCAGCTTTCTCGTGGATGGCTTTACGAAGGAAAGATAGGGCTACATCTAGACCACGTTGCTCTGTCCCAAGCCCGACCTATGTACCTATGTCAGCGGTGTATATTCTCATGCCATGGGTCCCTCAACTAAGCCACGTGCCTCTTAAGAACTCCAAGTATTTTTGTTGTTTTTTTAACACTCCTTAAAAGCTGTCATGATGGTTTCTGATAACGTGTGAAATTGCTGATACAGGACCTAGTCAAACATTGCATCCCCCCATTTGTCCCGTTTGGCAGCATATAGTTGTGCTCGATTGTGAGTTCCCATAGACAGGTTTTTTTTTTAAGTTGCTACCTGGGTGCAGATACCGTGGGAGGTAGCTCCAGATCTGCAACTCTACCTCCAAACTTCATTTTCTTGTTAATACAGAATTGCTGCTATTCTTGTCTCCGAGGGTGAGTCGTTTCACTGAGGATTTTTGTCAGACAGTTGTAAGAATGGGAGAAGGATTAAGGAACAATGAGAATTGAACAAATAAAAAAGCCTTTACTAATCTAAGATCTTAACGTTCTTGTTTCTCTCTGCCACCTCTCCTCCTAAGATTTTAGAACTCATTGACTGTTCACCGAATGCTTTTAATCACATCTTTCTTCATAATGTTTGGAAGAAGATCTTTCCTGCATTTGGATTTGTACAGCCTGAGTTGAAATTTTGGCGGAATGGAAGCGCTGGAAATAGGGTGTGTGGGGAGGCAGTGTCGTGTGTTAAGGAAAGAAGGATAAGAAAATCCTGGTGAGGGGAGATAACTAGAGCTTAGAGAAAAAGAATGAAGACCAAAAAAAAAAAAAAATAGACTGGATGGCAGATCTAGCAGATTGTTCTGTGTTCTAATGGTAATGATATTCTTGAGCATGAAGATTTGTACATTGTGTATGATGACCAAAAAAACATTACCATTTCGTTATTTGAGGAGTCCGGAGAGTTCTGGCAACAAAGTTGGAAGAACATAAGGAGGGTTTGATAGTTTAGTACCAGAAAGATAATCTGGGATCCAGTAGATCTCTCTGCACATTGTTTTCGTGTCTCTACCCTAACCCCAAGTTGAAAGTCAAAGACTATGGTGAAGGAATAACTGGATAAGGTAGGTAGGTACACAGGTCTCTGCCTGAACCTGGATGCTGTTGCTGAAATTCCTGGGGCGATACGATACAGCCTGTAAGGACTCAAATGCTTTGTCTAACTTTGCCCCACAGATTGGAAGGTGCCAGATAACTTACTGAATGCTGAGCTCCGTAAGGAGCTCCTTGTACACCTACCATGGATCTTATATGTACTGCACCTCACCAAATAATCTAGTTCAGAGGATGTCCTTGTGGCAACCTATAATCCTCCTAAAATGAAGTTTTTTGGAATACATGCTGAAGAAATTGTGTATTTCAAAATTATAAAAACCCTGGTTGAAGCCTTTTAAAAACACACACACAAAAAAAACCTGTTTCAGTTTGCTTCATGGATCTCATCTTGCAACAGGTTCGCACTGTTGAACACAAGGTTTATTGAGTTGGGTAAGTTATTTTGTCAAATCCAGGTTCCAGGATCCCTACCCCAACTCCCTTTGAAGCTCTAGTGCCTCCTGCTCCCTGTAAAAGATAATAACGGCTTTGAAGCTGAACAGCATTTTGATTTCCCTTCCCATGAGACTGACAGAGGAGGCACAGGAAGGGGAGGGAAGGTTGTAACAAGAACATATGATCGCTCAAAAGCGGAGTTCACCTGATGATTGATTAGGGAGATGTCACTAGTTACCCTGTCCACAGCTGAGGTTAAACACAGGCCAACAATAGCCCAGGAGAGAACAATTGGAGAATTCATTAGTTGTGTTCCCCCTCTGACCCCCACCTTCCAGGCTTAGTATAGGCTCTGCCCTGATGAGAAGCAAACTTTGGATGGAACTAGACAGGGCTTCTGGAGTTCACGGCTCATTCTTCTCACCTGGCATGTGTGCAAAATGGTCAAGCATATTAATAGGTGACTTGGCCAACACCAAGTAGCTGGTTAGAGAAGCAGAGCGAGGATTAGAGCCACTCTCCCTTTAAAGACAATTACTCATCCCATTTGTCCCCAAAATGGCCATCAATTTCCTCCAACCTCACACAAGGATGTGCATGACACAACATCCATCAGCAAGTGGAGTCTCTTTCCACCCCTTGACTTGGTCTGTGGCTTCGTTTAATCAATAGGATGCAGTGGAAGGAACATTCTGAGACTCCCCAGTTTGGGCCCTAAAAGATCTGACAGCTTCTGCTTCCTGCTAAAGCATGGAAGCCAGCCTCCAGGCTTTGAAGAAGCCGGGCTTGACTACTGAGTGATGAGCCATAGCACGTGGACAGAAACAACATGTGGAAGAGCAGCAGGTGTGAGGGAAGCCTCTTTGGACCTTCCAGCCCAGCCTAGCTACAAGCTGAACACAGCTGAATGAGTTACCCCCACCAAATCACATGGAGCGGAAGATCTACCCAGCTGAACTCTATCCCCATTCCTGACCCAGAGAATCATGAGAAAGAGACGACCTGGGGATCCCCAGGTGGCTCAGTGGTTTAGCGCCTGCCTTTGGCCCAGGGTGTGATCCTGGAGACTCAGGATGGAGTCCCGCGTTGGTCTCCCTGCATGGAGCCTGCTTCTCTCTCTGCCTGTGTCTCTGCCTCTCTCTGTCTCTCATGAATAAATAAATAAAAATTTTTAAGAGAAAGATGCAACCGAAAGACCCCTTTATCCTTTGCCTTATTCTATTCACTTGATTATCATAATTAAGAAATCAGGACATTAAAAAAAAAGAAAAAAAAATCAGGACATTTGACAATAGTTAGGTCTCAAAAGTCTGAGTAAGGAACCTGATCAACTAACACTTCCATGTATCTCATCCAGACAAGGTGGTTTTCTGCTTTAAACTCAAGACACTAAGGCCATCAATTAGTTTATTAATTTTGCTAATCAACCAGTCCTGCTCCAGTTACACTTAGCATTTAACTATCACAAAATGTTCTTCAGTTTTAATGTTCTGGTTATCTCATGATGCGTTATAGACCACCAGAAATCTTAATGGCTTAAGAACACTTCTTTTGCTCACGACTGTGCAATTTGGGCATAGCTGCATGAGGACAGCCAGTCTCTGCCCTACTTCAACATCAGGTAAGGCTGGCTTAAAGGTCAGTTCTCTCCCATCTGGAGATTGGCGGTGGGAAGAAAACTTGAACAGCTGGAGCTAGAACAACTGGGCTTCTCTGAGATTACTATCTCCATGGAGCTTCCCACGTGGTCTACCCCGCTTGGTGGCTTCAGGCTGGCTGGTGCTCTTATAAATCAGTTCTGAGATCCTAAGACACAGTCCCAAGGAAGGGAAACTGGCAGGAGCTGTATCACTTTGCATGACTTAGATTTGGAAGTCGGATAATGTCCTTTCCGCCCTGCTACTGGTCTACCCATATTCAAGGAAATAGGCCCCACCTTTTGATGAGATGTGCCAACATCACCCTGTTAAAAGAGCATATGGGAAAGGCTAGGTTACTGTTACCATATTTGGAAAACAATCTCACCTCATCCAGCTTCCAAACTCGGCATATGAATTTCATGCTAGGACTAAAATCTTGATAAAAAAAAAAAAACTAATTCCAGAAGCTTTGATTTAAAAAAAAAATATTGCTAATCACAATATTTATGAAAGTTAATTCACTTTCCTTACAGATGATTTGGTTTAGTGGCCACAGTTTATCTTCTTTTTGCCCAGAGATTTGGATTATAGCTGAGGAGAGGGGAATGTGTATAACCTACTGTTATTGCTGTTTTGTAAACCTGCCCCTTCTTAAAAAAATAGATTCACTGCTTATAGTTGAAACAAATAGGGTAGTCATAGAAAGGTTAAGACTATGAATTTAATCTGGCTCTGGCAACCACATATTTTAAAGAAATTAGTTTTGTATGCTCTGTAACATGCTCTGTATGGATGAATGCTAATTACTTACATGTCTACTTGCACATTCATGCAGACACACCACATTCATTCAGTATCTTTTATTACTGAGGGATTTCTGGCTTCTCAACCCAGTTCACCTGCTATTTTTTTTTTTTTAATCTGGCAGTGCCACACCAAAGGTATGCAGTGCCTTTTTAATTGTTGCCTGGCAACACTCATGCTCAGGACAGGAAGTGAAGTGTGCAGTATCTCACTATAATTCTGGTAGGAATCATATTGTGCCTAACACTTAGCCAAACTGAAGTTTGTGAACAGCAAAACTAACATTTCTATTATTGCAGAAACGTGTCCCAGGACCTGTATTAATCAGAGAAGAGCTGCTAAACTTCTATGGCATTTTGTAGTTGTTTTGAGACTCTTATAAGTAAAAATAAATATCCAGTAAAAATATCCACATCTTCTTTGCAGATTATTGTACCAACATTAAATATTGGTCTGTGGTCTGATCTCTAAACCTAGTTTTTCAGCTTCATTTCCTAAACTGTTTTCATTATAACCTGAAGATATGATTTTATGAATCTTTTAACATTGGCTTTCCAGACTATCTTTGGAGATTCCACTTTCAAGTTTACCAAAAAACTGCATTACCAAAAGCTTTGGTATGTATCTAATGTTTGAAATTTATCTTTTTAATTTTTTTAAATTTCCTTATTTATTTGAGAGAGAGAGAGAGAAAAGAGCAGGAGAGAGGGAGAGGGAGAGAGAATCCCAAGCAGACTCTGAACTGAGTGCAGAGCCTGACATGGGGCTTGATCTCAAGACCCTGAGATCAGGCCCTGTGCCAAGACCAAGAACAGATGCTTAACCAACTGTATCACCCAGGCACCCCAATGTTTGCATTTTAATTTTTAATTTTTTTTTTTATTTATGACAGTCACAGAGAGAGAAGGAGAGAGAGGCAGAGACACAGGCAGAGGGAGAAGCAGGCTCCATGCACCGGGAGCCCGACGTGGGATTCGATCCCGGGTCTCCAGGATCGCGCCCTGGGCCAAAGGCAGGCGCCAAACCGCTGCGCCACCCAGGGATCCCAATGTTTGCATTTTAAATTGCCTTCTGAACAATGTGATTTCAGAGATTTCGTTGGTCAACTGACTTCTAACATTTCATATCTTTAAGTTAAATGTATAGCTAACAGAATCCATCACTGAACAAAAAAAGTCTTTAATAATGAGAGTTGTCACCCTTTAATAATGTTTATTGGGACTTTTTCATTTACATACCTTATCTCTTTTAAAGCTGAGCAGTCCAAGATTATTTCTGCAAGAAGCACAGTAGATTGAGAGGTGAGTTTGTTTCTAGCTGAAACATTTTAATATTTTGACTCATTTTAAATGGAATGAATCTGTATTAAAAAGTATTTGTCAGAAAAAAAGGAGTTAGGTTACTTGCCAAAAAATGGCAAAGAGTGTGCTATGCGGAGGTAACTTTAGTAAAAAAATGAAATTGCTGCGAAGAAATCACAGAGTGCATCTTTGTCACAAGCTGATGAGATGCATTACTTTTCAAGTAGCTTAAAAGAAGAGCCCTGTCTCATATTAAGCTGCTGGATTAACACATCTGGCCAAATAAGGCAAGGGCCAGCCAGCACCCTGCAGTTCCAAGTCTGTGCGTGCTCCTTTTGCAAAGCCACATTAACCAAGGAAGCTTGAGTTTCTAAAGTAGCTACACACTCACAGACATTCTCAGGCAAGTCATTTTCATTTAGAGATGAGGAAGTTATTGCAACTAATATAATTTATTTGCATCACCCCCCACCCACCCACCCAAGAAAAATGAAGAATGATTTGAACCTGCCTTATTAGAATGTTCAGCTCAAATTGAACTTTAGGCCATTAACTCCCTGACCATAAAGAATATCTGACAGTGTCAGTTCTTTAGGGATTCTCTTCAACCCAAAAGAGTGGTTCAACAGGTGCTTCAAGTTCTCTGTGTGTTTTCTCCACCCTAGAGAAAGGTGGATAAACTCATCTGATGATCCTTTCCAGTCTTGGCATTAATACTGTAACTGAAACTCAGTTTAAAAAACTGAAGAATTGCTTGGCATTTCACCTAATCTCTCTAAACATTCGTTTTCTCCTTGGTAAAATGAAAGTAATCCTACAGGGCCTACTTTTTTTTTTACAAGACTACTATGGGGGAAACACACAGGTCAGACAATAAGTAACATGAACTGAACATTTCCTATTATCTCTACCCTCTAAGTACATTATATGTGTTGTTCCACCAAATCTCCACAATAACTTTATGAGACAGGTACAGAAATCACTCGGAAAAAAAAAAAAAAAAAAAAGAAAAGAAATCACTCGGGCTTAGGAAATGCAACACCTTGCCCAGGCCTTATCTGGTGTGCGGCAGAGGCAAGATGTGAACTGACTTCTACTAAAGCTTATTCCACCTCCAATATAAGACCTATGAAAACAACTATGAAATAGGAAAATGATAGGCCAATATCAAATATCACCATTATTAAAATTTCCTCACTGTGAACCGTTATTTAAAAGTTACATTGTGGGATACCTGAGTGGCTCAGTGGTTGAGCGTCTGCCCTTGGCTCAGGTTGCGATCCAGGGGTACTGGATCAAGTCCCACATCAGACTCCTTGCGGGGAGCCGGCTTCTCCCTCTGCTATGTCTCTACCTTTCTCCGTGTCTCTCATGAATAAATCTTTAAAAAAAAAGATTTAAAAAGTTACATTGTGTGTGTGTGTGCACACGGCATGCATGTTCATATATTGTTTTTTAAGGTTTCTATTTTTGTCGGTTTGGGGGGCAAAATGTTTCTATTCAGATGGTTTTTTAATTATATGAATAATTGGTACAGAAACTCCAAAAAGTACAGAAAACTATAAACAAAAAGAAGAAATAGTGTGACGGTAAATCAAACATAGAAGCATGTTGGATAAGCAGCAACTCCCATTTCTCAAAAAAAGAAGGAAGGTCATTATAGTGCTTTACTCAGGGCAAAAATAAAGCATTTTAGTGCCATGCAAATAGTTAGAATGCTCATATTTGTTAAATGAGGGTCAGGATGACATACTGACTATAGCAAATCATCATAGCTTTTTGGCTGTAAACAGATAAAAATAAAAGAATAGCTCAGTAAGCAACAAAATGCTCAATCGAGGTAAGATTTGGCAGGCATCTTGAGGCTAGGTTTGCTGACATTCCTAAAGAAACATTCATTTCTAAAAATCCAGACCTAGAAGAAAGATCCAGTAGTATTAGAGTAGTTTGCATAGTATGGTTTAGAACGTATTTATTTGTAAAGAATGACCTGAGTACAGAATTAGGCAAATATTCATTTGGGAACCTGATCAAAAGTCAGAGAATTCCTGGAATTCAGAGTTGTACCTTGGACTTCAAAGGGACCTTCTGGGTCCGAAATGAGAGTAGAAAGCAGGATCCAGGAGTCTGAATGTGAGGGGTTCTCTTTCAAAGGAAGAGGTGATTGCTAGAGATGAACAGATCAGGAGTGTCTGCTACTCTGTTTTAGTTCATTGCTGGCAGGAAGAAGTCTGAGAAAGAAAACCAGAAGATCTCAGGCGGCTGGAAAGACTTTCAGGAAGCCTGCTGAGAATGTAGCCAGAGACAAAAGCATCTCCAGCATGACGTCAAGTGCATCTGCTCCTATCTCCGTTCCTATCAAAAACGAAGGTATGTTTTGTCTTTCCCTGAGTTCTACTCAATTCCTCCCAATGCCAGCTTCAGGCATCCTGAGAGGAACTGCTTTTCATAATGTTTCCCGGGATAGGTCATCTCTCCTCAGGTTCAGAAGCTGCAGTGAACCTCCTGAAACCATGACTTTTTCACTCAAATCTAATCCTATCCATCCTCTGTACCACCTGGACTCCCTCTGTGGCATCTCCAGCTACCAACTGGGGAAAGAGGAAACTCCAGGAAAAAAAATTGGGGGTGGGGTATTGTTCCCACACCGCATACCCTCCAAGTACCCCCAGTGACAAGTTAAGCAACTTTCCCAAGTTTATGTACAAAGTTCTTGAATCCCATCTGTCCTGCCCTTTATTCTTCTCTAAGCACGAACAACCCAGTTCTCGGACTCTTCACCAATCACAGGGAAAGTGTAGAAGTAGAGAAAAGAACTGATGTTAACTTCCTCCAGGAAAACCTTTCTGAAATGATCATTCATGTAGCCTTCTTCCTTCTGAAATTCCATGATTAGAATGTTCTTAAACATTTAATGTAGACTTAACTATTAGATGGAAGAAAGCATCAACTTAGTCTCTCAGACAAAATCATTTGCTTATAAGGGCACCTGGGTGGCTCACTGGTTGAGCGTCTGCTTTTGGCTCAGGTTGTGATCCTGGGGTCCTGAGATTGAGTCCTGCATCGTGCTCCCCACAGGGGAGCCTGCTTCTCCCTCTGCCAATGTCTCTGCCTCTCTCTGTGTGTCTCTCATGAATGAATGAATAAAATCTTTTTAAAAATCATTTGCTTATAGAATAGGGACCAAGTCTTATCCCCATAGGCATTGAACATGCTTAATAAATTCATTCATTTTTAAAAAAACCACAAGCCCTAGAGTGTCTAAAATATCAGGAGAGGGAGTTTTAAATTAATGTAATTGTTTTCTATTATACACACTAGTCAGAAAGTAATCTGACCTAATACCAGTCTTATTTTCCTTAAAAAAGAAGAAAACCTTTCAATTGTCAGAAGCAGTTTAAATGAAGAACTACTAAAAAAGGAAACAAACAGAGAGGTTCATGCTGCTCAGGCAACAAAATCAGTGAACAATGAAAGCCATAGTAGGCATTGACGGTTATAAACAGAAATATAGACTGTAATCCTGGCCTCCATCACTTTACTGCAAAATAATCACCATTTCCACAGTTTCATTCATTCTTTGCCTCTTACTAGCAACTTGACAGCTCCTCTCTTCTTTCTTCTTATTCCAGTATTTTCTTCACTCATCAGTAGTAACTATCAATTTACTTCTTATCAGCTGTACAGTTACTGTATAGTTATCACAGGCTACTACCTGTTGTTTCCCTATTATAAAAAGAGGCCCAACGAAGTTGGAGCATGAAGAGCATTTAATTACACATTTAGCATTTGAGTCATCCAGACTCTTAATCCTAATTTTGATTTGCTTATTTCCTTATCTTTGGGGAAAAAAATCCACACATTGGTCAATCATTTCATACAAGAAAGTGGTTCAGTGCTCATATTCAATAAAATTTCTTTGAAAGAAATTTGGATCATTTTCTCAGTAATGCTTACTTTTTTTTCCCTTTTGATCATCAAAAATATAGAGCTGAGCAAGCTTAAAATAGTTTTGACTGTATGCACTTACGTTTATATGTATTGTTATTTATAGGCAAAACTATTCAGTGTATAGTTAAATGAGATTTTTCTCAAGTGATCATATTATATTTCTGATGGGTAGATTAAGACTTGCATTTTTGATATGTTCATTTTAATTTCAGGATTAATATTCTGAAGAAGAAAGATACTCTGATAAAAACTTAAAAAATAATGTGATTCTTTTTATTACCATTTTGTATGTAGGATCCAGCTAATGCTGGATGTTCTATTCCATGTCTGGTAGTAGTGGAACAGCTTTCTCTTTTTTGTAGCATACTATGGAACTCTTCCAAAATTGTCAAATAGTCATTGTATTCTTATAAATAGCCATGTCTATATTAAATTCAACGTATGGTTTGAAAATTATTCAGTAAACCCTGTAAAAGGCTATTGTTGACATCTCCCCCCAAAAGAGTCAGAGAGCTGACTTAGGTTTGAGTCATTTATGGTGACCACCTAGCACAATAATCAAGAAAAAAAATATTCCAAGTTCCCATTCTATTTATTTCGTTAAGAAAATGCCAGCTGGTTTCAGCACTTCCCTGTTTATATGAATACTAACTTCAGGCTTTCAAACAAACCTTATTTGATTCAGGAAAGTCAGGAATAGAACCTGAGTGAGTCGTCCAGTGTCAGATGTAGCCTATGTGCTCCATGCTTACAACTGACTCATGAAATTCTGATGTCTGGAGGAGATCTATTTGATCTCTTATTCTCAGCTATATAATCTTCCAGATTAAATTGCACCAGAAATAATCTGTGTACATTCCACAGAGAGTAAATAATCAGACATATCTCTACTCCTCTTCCTCCACACACATGACTTTGCTTGTGATTATCTAAAACCTGCAGGCCTGATATTTTCACTAAAGCCCTGCAATTACAAGTATTATGTAAACAGCCCGCTGTCATTTCCAACTGAAAAATGTATTTTAAATGTGACAAAACCAGGAGTGCCTGGGTGGCTAAGTCGGTTATGTGTCCTGATTTCAGCTCAGGTCAGGATCTCAGGGTCCTGGGATCCCGCTCCACATTGGGGTCTGTACTGGGTGTGGAGCCTGTTTCTTCCTTAGATTATGTCTCTCTCCCTCTGCCAACCACTCCCCCAAAAAGCAACAAAACCAGCCTGCAATAAATGCGATTTAGGGTTAAGTCTCTAAGTAACCTCATTGAGAGATTCTGAGGTATAGGTAATGCCCAACTGATCCATCTTTCTCTTTAAAATACAATTATGTATAACCAAAAACCACTTCTCATCTGTGTATATAGAGGTTCCCTGGGGTTGAGGGAATTTCACTGGAAATATATTTTTCTCACAAGATTCCAGGTTTTGCAGAATTTGCTCTGATGTAAATATTTTCACATAATTGCAAACACATTTTTTACTTTGTATAACTTTCTAAAGATATTGCTCAAGGAAGCAACAAATACAAATTTCCTATTTGTTAATAGAAAAAACTGTATTTAAAACAAAAGATTAAACAATCCAGTTACTTAAAAGGAGCCTAAATACAAAAACAGAATGGATTATTTTTGAGTTGAAATGTGTAAAAATACATATATTTTTAAAAATGCAGAAATTGATCAAATGCATATGGAATAAAAATGATATTGAAAAGGGATGTGGAACTAAGAACACTACTCGATATTGAGATAACTGGTTACCATTTTAGGAGGAAAACTCACATCTTACACCAGGACAAATTTGAAAGGCATAAAAGATTTGAAGACAGGGGACCTGGGTGGCTCAGGGGCTGAGTGCTTGTTTTTGGCTCAGGTTGTGATCCCAGGGTCCTGGAATCGAGTCCCACATCAGGCTCCCCACAGGGAGTCTGCTTCTCTCTCTGCCTATGTCTCTGCCTCTCTCTGTGTATCTTTCATGAATAAATAAATAAAATCTTAAAAAAAAAGATTTGAAGACAGACAACAACAAACTACTCAAGCCATAGCAGACAAACAAGATATTCTCTTAGTGATCTTGGGGTAAGTTGTCCTTCCCAGCTACACATCAAATCCAAAAGCCATAAAAGAAAACATTGGTAAATTAAACTACAAAAGAATAAAACTGCTGCAGCAAAAGCCATCACAGGCAAATCAAAATGCAAATGATAAGGTGAGATAAAAATATTTACAACTCATATTACTACTGAAGATCTTACCTTCTTAATATAAAAGACATTTTTCAAAATGAGGGGCAAAAAGCCCAACAGTCCAATTGGAAAATCTTAAAAGAGATAAACAATGAGAAGATGAGATGTCATTTCCCCCCCAATCATTCACAAAAAAAGCCTAAGAGATGAATAACATAAGAAGAAAACACATATTCTCATATATTGCTGCTGGTGGTGTAAATCCTCTGGGGATTTATGTATAACCTTTGGGACATTTTGGCTAAAATTATTAATGATTACATCCTTTAACTAGTAATTCTACCTCTCTGGAGATAATTGTGAAATGACCACACACAAGGTTGTTCACTATAGAGTTGTTTTTTGGAAACAACCCAAATACTTACCACAAGAGACTGGTTAAATAAATGACGGTACATCCATACTATACTAGACAGCTGTTTAAAAAATAAAAAAGTATAAGTAAATAAATCTTTTTAGAGAGAGAGGGTTGCCTGCGGACCCATTTGGTTAAACATCCGACTGTTGGTTTTGGCTGAGGTCATGATCTCAGGGTCATGAGATTGAGCCCCATGTGGGCCTCCTTGCTCAACAGAATCTGCTTGAGATTCTCTCTCTCCCTCTTCCTCTGCCCATCCCACTCATGCTCTCTGTCTCTCTCAAAATAAATAAATAAATCTTTAAAAAATTGGAAAAAACGAAAGGTTTTGCATCCAAGACAAAAGATCTTTAAGAAATAATGTTCAGTGAAAAATAAAGTGAAGGCACAGTGTGTGCAGTATTTTACCTTTTGTATAAAAAAAGACAAGCCTATATTGAGATTTGCTGGTAGATACCATATTTACACACGAGTAATAATACCATCAAGTGTGTGGTTGTTTCTGTATGTGGTCCAGGCTGGTTGGGAACAGGGTGGGTGGGAGATAGGATTGAAAGAAAGACAGTTTGATTTTTGGATTTCTTTGTTTTTTCAATAATATACTTATTCCTATTCACAAAGTATTATTATTATTTTTTAAAGATTTTATTTATTTATTCATGAGAGACACAGAAAGAGAGAGAGGGGCAGAGACACAGGCAGAGGGAGAAGCAGGCTCCACATAGGGAGCCTGACGTGGGACTCGATCCTAGGACGCCAGGATCACACCCTAGGCCGAAGGCAGGTGCCAAACCGCTGAGCCACCCAGGGATCCCCCTACT